CCCCCCCCCCAGGTCAAAGCATCAGAAACGCAAGTTGACACAGTGCCCAAGATCCAGAATAGGTCCTGGTACTTTCTAGGGGTTCAATGAATATTTGCTGAGGGAAGGAAAGGAAGAGAGGAAAGGACAAACAGAGGAAAGGACGATCAGATGCCTGTACCATCCTCTCTAGTCCCTGGGGCAATGTGAGAACTCTCCTCTCCCCTCCCCTTCCCAGCCCTCCAGGAACTGTCCTCCTAACAGACAACTCAAATCCCTGATTACAGAAACACATCAAATGGGCTCACCAGGGGGCGATGTTCCAGCCGGCTCACCCTCTACCAGGCAGCTTTTCTATCCATCCACACTTATCACTCCTTTTATGCCTCAGATGACATTCTGTTGTTTTGTTTTGTTGGTGCTGCTTGTTGGTTTGTAGATAGGTAATGATGCAAAGAGAGAAAATTCAAGCAGCACTAAGGGCTGACCATGAAAAGCAAGCCCCGGACCACTGGCCTTCCCTTCCCCAGCTCCCTGTTCCCTATCTGCACTGTTCTCACCCATCCCTCCAGAGAGACACTCTGCGGAAGAGCATAACAGTTCATCTCCCGCGCCATCACATGCGTGCACATGATGTACACATTGTTCTCTGCTCCGCTTTTTCTCATGTAACAATATGTCCTGGAGCTTATTCCACATCTGTACGTAGGGAACTGCCTTATTCTTCAAAGTCAGAATATAATACCCATAGTTTTAGTTGGGTCCTAGTTGATTTAAGCAGACACCTCATGATGAACAGATATCCAGGCTGTTTCCAATTCTGGCTTCTAATAACTATGCTGCACCAAATGGTCTGTGCATACATCCTTGTGCACAGGTATGGGTGTCTGTGGGATGTCTTGTGGAAGGTGCATATGTGTTACATTTTCAGGTTACCACCCATAGAGATTGTATCAATTTACACCTTTTCCTTATATGTGAAAGATAATAGGTCTGTCTGTCTGTCTGTCTGATTTAATGCTTAGTATGGATGGCGAGTCTTCAAATCCTGGAGTCTGGCTGGGAGATGAAGCAGGTTTCAGGTTTGTAGTCTACACCAGCCAACCTTCTGACTCTGGGGGTGCAGGGGAGTCAGGAAGCAGATCAGGTCATCTCTGTGGGCCTCGGTTTCCTCATCTAAAAGTGAGGAGAGGACTCCAGCTGGGAATCTGAAAGTTCCCTCCCACCTCTTATGTTCCAAGTCCTTCTGCCTCCCCAA